TCAATTCTATACCAGAACAAAATAACTGTCACTTTCAGTTGTTATGAAAATGCTGTTTATATGTATAAATTTGAAATTGCATCACAGCCGTTTCTAAACACCTTGAAATTGGCCTCTGCCTCTTTAAGAACCTCCTACTGATCCCGTCTCGCCCATTTCAACACGTCACCACTTCTCTCTTGTTTACAAGCTGGAGCGTCGTAGCATGCTTTGTTGTAATAATAAGTAAAACAGCAGCAACATTATACAAGATCGGTTTGGAAAATTGCATCTCAGGATACATATGAACCTTACTGTCAGAGTAGAAAGCAGGTTTTCTGCAGAGTGATTACAGACAACGTTTCAGCTGGCAAGATTGTTTCAGTCGCACACACAGACTCACACATACTGATGTAGGGGTCACCTCGAGTGAAGAAATAAGATTTCCTGCCTCGAAGCAGGCCTCGCACAGGCCTGACGAAAGGACAAGAACTCTGTCACAAACTGAACTCTATTTAGGCCATGACAGGTCATTCTAACCGTGGAAGAGAACTCCTCAGTTCTCTTAATCAGATAATGGACAGAACAATCTGTTCTGTTCGTGATTCATTTGTTGTTTAACTAAGAATGTTTATGCATTTGTTAAAWCATGATAATGACTGTCACAGGAAAAGCGGAACACTTCTTTTCTTTTATCGTGGCTTAAAGATTTATAATGGTGTAAAAAAATCACAGAGAATCATTACAATGTTTTCATTGTGTTCTTATGTAAATCACTGTTTTTATTTTACTGTGAACACAGTAATATARTTGTGGATTTTTCCTGAGAAAATCTTTCATTTATCTGGACTAACAGAACGGTTCAGAATTGATTATAAGACAGAAATGTTAATTAATCATCATAAATGTTTTGCAGTGATTTCTCTTAGTCTGTCAGAAGAAAGCTGAAAAAAGGTTATCATCATGTTGTGAACAACCACAGAATTTTAACCTTGGGCTGGTGCCCTGGTAAATCTTTTATCTTTCTTTCTCTGACTCATCTCTAAGCCTGAGGGCGGAACCAAAGTTCGTCCATTTCTTTTACTAACCCGGACGTCTTTGAGTGACACACTCTTCTTCCTGACTCCAACCTAGGAAGAAAGCTGAGTTTCTCTCGGGAGGACTCAGTTCGGCTTTTAGGTCTTAGCCCATGAGCCAACTAGGGAAGACTTAACAGCCCGGGACCCGGCACGCCAGCCGGTGMTCCCACCCCCGAGGCTCCYACACTGATCAAGTTAACACATAAACTAAACAACATGTGAACTGGGGATGTCCTGATCAGATACTCAGTATCGGTGGCAGATGTGGCCATTTTTTGAAAATCGGGTAGAATCGGTAGTCCTCTGTGATGAGGAAGCTCGGTTCAGAGACACAGCCCAGAGGAGGAGCTGCACCTAAAAGAAGGTTCTGGTCCCAAACTGTGKTTTTGTTCCCCTGCCTGGCTGCTTCAGGACACTACAGGATTTCTCAAACATGAATGAGTCAAAGTAAGACTCTTGACATGTTTTTGATGAGAGGATAACATCATAACATGATATAAAACTCAAAAAAGTTAAAGCTGCAAAAAACTTTTATGTTTTTAGATYCTTTTTTGACAAGTTTTGAACTCAAGGAACAGATTTCAAACACAAATTAAAAAATGACTTCTTAGATATGTAGAAGCAGTTAAATGCCAAAAGAAGCTAAAACTGAAGCAAAAGCTGAGCTAAAAGCAACAAAAAGCTAGCTTTAAGTTGCAAACGGCTAACAGCTAAAATGTTAAAGAGTAAAAATGGCTTCAGCTGCATTCAGCTGAGTTTAACTCAAAGGTACAAACTGTTCAACAGATTGATTTGGTTCAGTTTGATCCGTTTGTTTTTACAGTGAAGAACAGTTTCAGTCCAACAATCAGCCGAAGAAACGTTTGTTTTTTATTCTAACGGACGTGTGATGACTGAACGGTTCTCCTGTCGTCTCTCATGTCTGGTTTTCCCTCTCATCACCCGGGAATCGGTGCTTTTTGCCTCCGTCACCATGGAAACTGGACTTGCAGCATCTCTCCTGGTGCATTTATTTATTTTATTTCACAATGACCACACTGATGGTTCCAGTGGGTCAGCAGCGAGCCCGTAGAACCCACCTCTGTCTACCTTCACCACCCCTCGTACAGCATCCTGGACTGCGATTACATACCCCTCCCCCCTCCACCCTCCAGGTTCAGCCTGAGCATCTTCATCCACATCGACCATGTTCCCCGAGAACATCAAGAACCCAGTCCTGCTCCTGGAGACTTCCAGGGGTCAGACTCCTGAGGGAGCAGAAGGTTTTCTGAGGACCAGCWGGAGGAGGTTTCTCTACCTGTCAGGTGAGGCTGAAGATACCAGGAGCTTCTCTGCATCACTTCAGGAGAAGAAATCTGGCTTTCCGGGACATGATTCAGTGACCCAGAGAGATCACTGATCACTGATCACTGTTTATTGATCAGTGATCAGTGATCACTGAT